AGAAAACATATAAAATAAATAGTGGAACATATATAAATTTTTTATTTTAGTGTCATTTTAATTGTTTTGACGAAAACTTTCTAATGATATATTTTGTTATAAAAATACTTTTTATTATAATTTAATGAACTACATAAATAATCAAAATATATAAAAGTTATAAGCAACTAATTAGGGGTAAATTGGTCATTTTATCTATTTTGTCTTGTCCAGTTCTGTCTTACCAAACGTTGAACAAATGCTATGTCATGTTCTGTCTGTCTAGACACCAAACGCACCTTAACTGATTTGTCTTTCCACATAATCCTTTTTGGGGCAAGTCACTGGTGTGGGCCTGCTCGAGGGTGGTTGGTTAGAAACACTTTTGCACAAACATATTAGATGTTGTCTCCTTAAATACCCTTGACTTATGTTGTCCCTCATTGAACGAAGTTTGAAGGAGAGTACATGACTGAAAACGAACTAAAAACTCCTTCCCCGTCGTCCTGAAGTAACGGTAGAGTCTATAGGAGATACTGTGGAATAATTTTTTTAGTACGGGTATTAAAAATACCTATAGCGTCTCCTGATCTGGAAGAAAATATATTGTCCCAAAATTCTATCTCTTTCTTGTTCACCAATCAGGTGAATACATATCATTTCAAGAGGATAAACGTGAACTAAATAAAATGACAATGTGCCCTCACTTGATTGGTGGGAAGAAATTTTGGGACCTCAGATTTGTTTTCCTCTGATATGTTTTAATATGAGTAAAATGTCTAAAATGCCCCCTCGATAAGATCAAAATTCACCCTATCATTTTGTTTTAGGATCACAACGACACGCTGCTCCTTGGAATCAAACCGGTGTATGGCTTGAGCCTTCATATGACGGATTTTAACGACACAAGCAGATATTACATGATTGAAAGCGACCCGTCAAGGTCAACAGTTTGTTATCAAAAATACAAATTTATCCGTTCCAAATAAGTGTCCATATTTTTATTTTTATTTGTCTAAAAAATAAGTGTCGGTTTTCAAAAGCAAGTGTTCACTTTCCAATTCTACATTTAATAACGAGATGTGGAGAATTCATTTACTTCTCCTTATTATTAAAGGTATAATTATCATTTATTTAATAAAAAAGTAATATAACTAAAAGTTTTTAAAACTATCCATGGACATTTATTTTGGGACGGATTATAAGTATAGCTAATTTGACAAAAATTGAGGTCAAATACAAAAGTAGAGTCAACCACAATGGTTGTATTTGTAATGAACTGTTGTTATAATATATACATTGCTCAAGGGTTGTATTTGCATGAAATGTTATAATATATAAATTTTTGGGTCAAGTGATCCAAAATTTCATTTTAATATTTAAATATTGTTCGGACTTTTGTTTTAAGAGTTGTTTACTTAATGTTTATCATTATCCGATGTCACTTATCTTATTGGATGATTATGACAAAGAGAGGTTGGCCCAGTTTCTTGAGAATGGTAGTTCAAACCCAATGGGACTAAAAACCCAAATCTGACGGGTCGTATTGTTCATCTATGATAAGTTGATAACCCTGTTGCATACGACTAGTCTTTAAATCGATAAAAATAGCTAATCCATAAAAGTCGATTTCACTTTTTAGCCGGAAGGCCACTTCTTCAAATAGGCATAGTTTATGCATAATCATGCGAACAGATTGATTTCGACCAAAAAAACAAAAAACAAACCTTACGCAGAAACCATTTTATGCGTAAGCTTGACTTTTTGTGTAAAAATTCCAATTCCTACCGCAATGATTCAAAATTTTGCGTTTCTTCCTTTATTTTCTTTTTTCAGAAATCAAAACTCTACGTAAGGATTCGAATTTCTATGTAAACTTTGGCTATTTTAGAAAGAACTCGGAAAGATGGCTAAAGAGTGAATTTGGTTGATGAAATTGGCTATTTTGATCAATCATCTCTATCCTCTTGGTGTGGTTCAATAGAATACAATCCCTTTTTTGTCCACAAATAAAAATTGCTGCAATGTAAATCCATGTCAAAAATTGTTGCATGAACAAATGTAACAAACCTGCTTAGAATCAAATATTAAAACATTAAATTAAAACCACAAAGTGATGCCTGATTGGTTTGAGCTTGGGCTCCAATGGTCAAAAGTGCCTGGAAGCCTCAGGTTCAAATCTAAGGAGGAACAAAAATCCCCTTGTAGCCACGAAGGTTCAAATGCGGTAACTCCGGGCTACCCACAAGGTAGGTGGTCGCCGTAGGATTAGTCGGCTCGCATAGCGGGTTGCATTGGTTGTACAAATATCATAAATATTCAAATCATAATAAATGAACTCTCATTATTTCCATAAATATCTTAATTTATTGGGTTGCATTGGTTGTACAAATGCCATAGGTTGTATTTGAAACAAACTCTATATATATAATACTAAAATATTCAAGGATTCTTGTTGGCATGGATGATTAAAAAGACCAACCATTTCTATTTCTCCTACTTTCTTCCTTTTAAAGAATCTATTAGAACAGAAAAATTAGGCCTAAATCTTCGGGGAATCTGTGTTAAGTTTGACTGAACACAAAACAAAACACAAAATTTGGAGTTTTTAAGGCCTCTAAAAACAAGTTTAATGTTTTTATGAATAGTATCCAAATGACAAGCAGCCAAACTTACTATAAAACAAAAATGTAAAAGTAAAACGATTGTATCCGGTTAATGTGTGTGTGTTTGTTTTCCCTATTTGTCGTTGCAAAACACCAGTTTCGAGCACCGCAAAGAAGTAGAAAAGAAGTCCAAAAGCCATTTAACATAGTTTAAGAAACAAAGGGTAATGGAACTATTTCCGGGTTGAAAGATAGATACCGGAAACAATGGCAACACCCGCAACCGCTACTCCGACGGTTGACAAAACCTTTGAAACCGAAACAGAGGGTTTGGTTGAAGGTAACTCCAGAAGCTCTTTAACCTGCATCTCCAAATTCCAACACTTCACATTTTATCACAATAATTGCATCTAACTTGTTATTACAAAATTTATTTGTACTGTTTATTTTCGATGCTGCTTAGCAGCAGGCTACGGATTATTTCTTTGTAACGATCATAATGGACAAATATTGGTTGGGAAGACAACGGTAGGTCTGCGTATAGTTTACCCGTCCCCTCCTAGATCCTACCTCCGGTAGGGTTTACTAGGTTTGTCTGATTGGGTTTTTTTGGGGGAGGGGAGAGGAGGTATGGAGGGTTATAGAGCTGCAACTTGCAAGCAGCTTCCTAGGCAGCGCCTATGTATGTCTGAGTGGACTCCCATGCTCAACTTATTTTCGCAAGTAGGATTTTTTTTTTTTACGCACAAAAGGTGCATCCACTAAACTTTGAGGGGTGCTCCAGGATATTAGAAAATAAAAGAAAATTCAATCAAAAAACCAAAAAAAAAAGTACCTTGAAATCGACCAAAAACTGAAGAAGTCCCTCGAAATCAACCAAAAAACTTTAAAAATCCCTTGAAACGGGATGGAATTCGGCTAAAAATACCTCGGGTGGCTTTGCGGGCCTTTGATCCACCTTAAAGGTGCATCCCATCGGCAAAAATCCTAGGTCCGCCAATCTTTATTAAGCTATGCTTTTTAATAACTGTTCAAAATCTTCGTTAACTTTTTCATTTCCAAAAACCTTTTATCAGACCCGTTGGGTAGAGGAGAGGTCTGCATACATACTAACCCCAAACCCTAATTCCGTATGGAATATATTGGATACTTCTGGTTTGATGAGAACGGGAAAATAAGTAAATATTAGTTTCAAAAGTTAGCAAAAAATATTGAAGTTTTAACGGGACATTAAAATGAAATATTTGCAATTTTTGTGGGAAAGGGAGTGACTTTTAAGGTGCTCCATAGAGAGATGACTAACCTCAACAGGCTGCTCCCAGTACTTCTTTATTCCCTGAAGGTGCCCCTTTCCGACAACTGCAACCACGGAGCTGTGCTCACGGGCTACTTTCAGCAAGCTGGATGACATGTACCTAAAATGCAAACCAATATACAAAATTCAGTATCAGCATACCTTTTTCAGAAGAAGTGTATATATATATACACCACAAGATGGAAAGGTGATCCGAGTTCAAACTTTTTTGGTTATATTGTGTTAAATAACACAGATAGAAAAATCATATAAAGCATGACCTGTACGGTAAATTTGATGGAATTGGAATGACAAATTCCTTTGACCAAATTTCAATTCCTTCCTTTGGTTCATTTCTTGAAATGGATGGAATCCTTCAAATTCCATTGAATTCCACAAATTAATGAATTAATCATTCTTTGGCATAATGGAAGGATTTGAATTCTATCGCCACCCACCACAACCATGCTACTATTGTTCCTCATGCCCCACCTCTAACCCCCCACTACCACCACAACGCTACTGTCGCCCCCACCCCACCCCACCTCACCTCACCACTAACCACCATGCCACTACTGTTATCATCCCACCCACCCATCCCCGGTCACTCACTACACGTCCCTACTATGACCATACTACTACCTACTGTCACGCCCCTAACCTAACCCCCACCACCACCTATGCTGATAATATATCGGACCTAGGCAAAATATCGCTGCATAAATATCGGTCAAAATATCGTCCCCGATATTATCGGCGATATTTTCCGATTTTTTCCCGATATTTAGCGATATTTTGATGTATATATCGGACCGATATAACGATTTTTAGGGTTCAATTAGTTTTTTGGGCTTGGTAACATATATTATTAGGTCTGAAATTAATAGTCTGCCTTCCAACGGTATTCGTCCTTTCTTTTCATCTTTACGAGTTACGACTTCACACATCACAGACACCTAGTTCACTTCACGAATCACGACTTCAGACTTCTCACAACTTCAGACTTCTCACGGAGTCACGGTTTGGCTTCTTTTCTCGGATGTCGAACCTATTGCTTGCGATTAGCTCGTTTTTGAACATTTTAGATGATGTGATGTTTTAATTTTGAAACTATATTTCTAAACTCTAATTAATGCATATTATATATATAATTCTAAGAAATATTATGTTAACTGCTATTTTGGACCGATATATCACCGATATATCGCCGATATAACCGATATATCGAATTTCGGTCCTGACCGATATTTTGTATTCTGACCGATATAACAGCATAGACCACCACACCATTATTGTCGCTGTCACAACTGCTACTTACTCCCACCCCACCCCACCCTACCCCAACCAACTACTAACCACCATGTCACTATTGTCGTCGTCATACCCACCCACCCGACCACCATCCCACCATTGTCGTCATCACAACTGCCACCCATCCCCACCGCCCCGCTCAGCCAGCCCCGAACCTAAACCCCACCCCCACACCACTGTTGTCGCCTTCACAACCGCCACTCACCCGCACCCCACCCTACCCCAACCCCAACCCACCACTAAACAGCATGCCACTATTGTTGTGGTCATACCCACCCACACCCAGGCCCAACCACTATCATCGTCACAGCTACCACCCCGCCACCTACTCCTACCCACCCCACCTTACCCTACTCCAACCCACCACTAACCACCATCCTACCACTGTAGTCGTCACAGCTACCACCCTGCCCCACTTTGGCCCCACCCCCACCGCCTCTCCCCACCCTGCCTGCCCCCAACAACCCCCCACCTATGGAGCAGGGTGGGGCGGGAGTGGTGGGGGTTGTGGGGGCAAGGTTTGGTAGGGGTGGGGCGGGGTGATAGCTATGACGACGAACGACAATAGTGACATGGTGGTTGGTAGGGTGTGGACCGGGCGATGGGTGGGATAGTTCAAACAAAAGACAATTGTTCTAATTCTATTGAGAGATTTCATTCCAATTCCTACCAACCAAACGCGTGGTCAAATTCCATCACATTCCATTCCAAATCCTTCAAAGTCAAATTCCTTTGATGAATTCCAATTGCATCAAATTCCATTCTATGAATCAAACACCCCCTAAAAGGGTTCGTTTGGTTTGTAGGAATGGAAAGGATTTGGGGGGATTTGGAATTCATATCTATTTCAATCCTGTGTTTGGTTTGCAAGATTGCTCGGAATGGATTTCTTTGAAATCCCATAGCTGATGGATTTGGAAATCCTTAGGAAAGGGTTGGTATTTCAAATCCAAATTATTTCATAAAAGTTCAATTGCTTCTTTCCTTCCTCCTAATGGATTTGGTAATTAAAATATATAGTCTTGGAAAAATTAATTACAAAAAGGTAATTTACCGATAAAAACAAATATTTACAAATAAAAATAAATCACATTCCAAATCCTACAAACCGAACACACAAAAGGATTTGAAATCCTCCCCATTCCAAATCCTTCCATGAAATCCAAATCCCTCAAAACAGTTACGCAAACCAAACGGACCCTAATCGGAAACCGCTTATCCGTCTTTTGAAACAGAGGTATGGTCTGCATACATCCTACCCCACCTAGATCCTACCTCCAACTGGGATATACTGGATTTGTTTGGCTAACTGCAATTGATTGCTTAGCATGTAGTCAAGATCATGAGTTCCAAAACTAAATCTTGTGTTCCAATTGAAAATTTTGGGTTATTTCAGTCTTATCTCTTTCTTCACCTTAAAGTATATAAAAGATTACGTATATCGTTGGAGATCCCTCTCCTTACATCCCAAAAAAATGTCCACGATGAAAAAAACACACAGTTTTAGAAATCTGTAATAATTACACTTCTTAATCATCAAAATGGCAACTTTACTCATGGTTTTCAAAATCGTTTGAGGCGTACGCCTCAAGGAGAGGCAGTCCAACACCGCTCATGAGGCGGCGCCTCATGGTCCCTGGAAGAGGCTTAAGCCTCAATTGGTGAGGCGGTGCCTTGAGGCGTTGAAGCATGAGGTGTTTCTGAGGCGCACGCCTCAGTTTACTGCTGCCTTGATTCGTTGAAAATAGTGCCTGAAATTACTTGTGTTTTTTTTAAATAAAGTCAAAACACTCAATTGTACTTTTATAATGTAAAAGTACAAAGAAACCTTTTATAGGATGTTCTTTTATCTTATCAATCAAAACAAATGTTACCTTTCCATTTCCTAATACTACTTTTGTCTTCCCCTCCTACTTTCTTCTCCTCCTTTCTTCTCCACCGAAAATACCTCTCCAAACACCATTTTTTCTTCTCCATTTCTTACTTTTTCCTCTCTCAAGAAGATATTCATCTCAAAGGCCAACCCAAAAAGTAAGTTATTTCTTGTTTGCGTCCATATTTTTAGTTTATGTATGATGTATTATATTATATTATAGTTATGTTATATTATATTATATATACTTCAGTCAAGTATATATGTTCTATATCATGTATACTGTATTTTCTATAAGTATAATGTGTTATGCATGTATTTTTGTATATTTTCTGTTTTCTGTATTCTATATTATTCTCAGTTTTCTGTATTATTTTTCTGTTTTATGTGGATTTGGAAGATGAAAGTGATGGTGATAATGGATACGGTTGTGGAGCTATACAACTTGATCATGCTATGGGGAACTATTGTAGATTGATATGTTTTTAGACTTATAACTGGTATTTTATGAATCTATGACATTTAAAGTTTGGTATGGAATTATGTTCTGCTTACTATTAATATTTATGAATCTTATTTGTTTTATGCCTCGAGGATGCGCCTCAGTGCGTGGAAGGAAAATGCCTCGGGTCCCGATTCCGCTTTTTAAAACCTTGATTTTACCATTAACAATAGAGGGAGTAATGAATTTTCGATCTCATAATTAAGGGTAAAATTGGAAAGTAGGCACTTATCTTTAAAGTGGACATTTGTTTTGGGACAAACTAAAATAGAAATATGGACACCGAGTATAAGGTAACTAAGAGATTCTAGAGATCGTTTGATATCCTTAAATATTTGTCTTTTCTAGACGACGTGGAATAAAATATACGGTCAGAAGAATATGCAAGTCCTACACAAGCAAACCTAAGTTTAGCAGACTAAACCGGCCTTCATTTTGACAGCCTGTTAAGCAGCATCCAAATTTGAGTACCTACTACCCCTTGAGTATTGTAAATCGAGAAGAAAAATTTAGGGAATTCCTCATTAAAAAAGAAAACTGAAACTTATGTTTGAACATAAATAGTTAAATATGTTAGCGTTTTGATTTTTTTGCTTCGCTTACGTGGGACATGCTTTCAGCCAAAAACTCTAAAGAAAAACCATAACTCTTAATGCCTTAGTGATTTGTAATACTTCCATATATGTTATAATATTGAAATTTAAGAGTTTTACCTAAATGCTTTATAAGATAGTATAGATTACACAACCATACGGTTTATATTCAATACTACAAGATGAGATAACATGCACAAATTGCCATCATTAAGGCATCATGCTATGGTTTCTACTCAGCATTGGTCTCACTTAATTTGTAGATTGGGTCTCGGTTTTTTATCTTTTGAAACAGAAGAGTTCCTAAACTGCCGCATCCAGTAAAGAAAGGGAATTAACAATAACATAACAACAGAAAGAACAAATGCAAAGAAAACTAATAACACCAAACTGTACGAAACCAGGTACTAGAAGCAGATCCCCTCACTCCAACCATGTAAGTACTGTTGAGTATGAGCTGCTGTGAAATGCTGGTTCTAAGGCTGACCGGGTCCAACAGAGTCCTTGTTTTTAGCTTTATTAGTTAGGCTTATCTTTCCAATAACCCACTTAGCTGATTATGTGCAAAGTGGGCAGATTTTTTGTTTCCATTTTCTTTTTGTAAGGCTATATAAAGCCACAGCTTTGCTTTCAAATAAAACCAGCAGATTTGCAGCCTCTTTCTTTTTTCTCTACGTATTCTTTGATATTCAACATGTACAAAGTTATCCTATTTGTCGTGTTTTCTACCCTTCACATCTACAGTAGCTACTAGTCCCTCTAAAAATCTGCTACCTTAATTCTACACCTTTAAGAACTCCTATTAGAGGTCAGATCCTCGGATAGCTCTAAGGACGTCATGTCCATCTTCAACTGCTCATCTCACATAATTTTTGGCCTTCCCCTCCGAACCCCCTCAACTGTCATCTCTCAACCCTCCACACTGGAGCCGTCATTTGTCTCCTCCTTATGTGCCCAAACCACCTTAATCTTCCCTCATTTTATCTGTGATAGACTTGATTCCAGCCGAAGATGCATCTTTACAGATCAGATCTTTGTACTACTAGAACTAGGCATTAAGAAAAAGTGCAATACATGTTGATGAAGACCAAGAGATTGGCCGTTACCTAGAAGTTCCCCTAACCGAACAAAGATGAACTTCAAATATGTAATTTTACAAAAATATTTATTTCTCCCATAATCTAGCAAATTTTGAACCACCCCTCGTATGTACTTTGGGTGGAGAGGCTCTCTCAACCTTCTTCTTTTTGTGTTGTACTGGCACCCCATTGTTAAAGATATGATATTCCCTTCTGTGAGACCAAAGGGTCATTGGCCAAGTGGTACCCTGGCTACCAGTAGATCCCAACCTCCCTGTAGGTAAAGAGTTCAAGCCCCATCAAAGGTTGAGTGTGTGTTTTTCCGCATATAAATATTAGTTCACGCTGATCTGTCCTAATAGTAAGGAGGTGGGAATGCATAAAGGTCTCAAATTTGAATCCAGGCACCATCCAGGGGGATTTTCCTCTCCATAATGGTTCTGAGACCGCCTCAGAGTGTATCGTATGACCTTATTTTCTATGAGATTTGATTTCCTCCATGTGAGAGTTTTGTATTTTCTTTCACCCAAAATGAACCTTTGAAGACCCTATAGAATTTTGAATACTATACAAATTTTAATACATATACAAGTCATTCGTAAATGATTATGTTGGATTTGCCAGGTCCTCAGAAAAAAATTAACAAATTTAGAGTTACTTATCAAAGCTTTACTCTAAAAATTGCCATATAGTGACATGTTAAAGCAGTTGGTCAAACCCCACCAACCATATTTTATACATATCACAGGTTTGGACCATCCAGAAGGAAAAAATATTCACAAACTTTCGAAGGAGAAGAAATTTTCTTTAAAAAAGCTAATCACAAAAAATTACTAAATAAGAAACCCTCAAAATGATGAAAGGTTTTTTATGTGAGGGTGGCACTATGCTTAATGCTGGTGATATGCATAAAAATAAAAAAGAGAGGGTAGGATGTACACAGGCTTGATCTATACTCCAAGGAGTAGCGGCTATTTCCATGAAGACCCCGGCTTGTGCAAAGCATATGAGAAAATAAAGATAAAAAAGAGAGCAGGGTGCTAGAAAAGGAAGGTATGCCCAGAAAGGAAGAAGCCATACTAGGTAGAAGCAAACAACATCACAAACACAGGATGCAGGCAAACGTAAAAATAGCTAAGAAAACCACACAACCCCCAACCTATCTTAGAACTCTGATGGTAACCAACCTACCAGCGCCCTAGCCCTACCCCCATCTATCTCACCACCTCCCTTCCTCGTTCCTCCCATCTAAGCTAGCTACATGCCCCCTAGTCTACTATCTTATTCATGTGTCTCCAAGCAGTCCTATCAAAGGTCATGTCCTAAAAAATTCCCAGGTATCCACAGTTGCTCAACCCAAGTCCTCACCGCATTCCCCTCCTCACCCCCTCATACTTTCCACCCTCCTTACTGGGCTGCTATTGTGGTGATATGCATGATGTTGATAATGGGTTATGGGACCTGTTGTGTTTTGTTGCTTTACCAAACAAGTGGTTATAATCTCAAGACATTTTTGCTGTGTTTGCCAACCACCATATGTTTATTTTGTTAGAGCTAAACTTTTTTTCATAGAAGATGAGATCTAACTAATACCATAACAGGGAAATAGAAAGATAAACGAAAACATCCTATTGCAAAAGAAATGATAACTTGACATCAAATAAAATATAATATGCACAGCAAAGAAGATACTAACTGGTCTCGTTCATGTACAAGGGTTTCCATTAGAGTAGGGTACTCCTTGCTCATCTCTTGAATAACAAGCGTCAACATGTCCACGTTGTCCAATTCCTTCAACTGTAACAAGAAATACACATATAAAATACCAAGTCTGACAACAATCTCCAAGATCTTCAAATTTGTTCAGTTTCTAGAACATTCATTGTGGGAAAAGATGGTGCTGATATGAGAATGCAGCACATACCATTTCGTTAAGACGTGTGGAGCTTGGTAAAAATATTGACTGGAACATCAAGGAATACATCAACTTTGTCTTATGCCATAGTGGCATTCTTGACCATGTCCTTCGTAATGTTATCTGTACAATTGTCACACAAACATGAACAAAGTAGCAAAAATGTTGAATTTCGACCAATTGCATAGGTTGACACTTGGAACTAAAAATCATAGGTCTAAACCAAAATCAAAACCAACCCACTATATCCCACACGAAAGTAGCATCTCGGTGGGATGTATGCATACCTGTCCTCTACCCCAAAGGATAGAGCGGCTGTTTCCATAACACCCTTGGCTTGTGCAAAAGTGAGCGAAAAGGGAAGAAGCAAGACTAAATTGTAAGCGTCAGAAAAAAAGAAAAAGAAATAGGCACATTGTAACATATAAAAAGTAAGGAATGTCACACAACCCTTGACCCTATATGTCAGCTCCCTAACCCTCCCCATGTTCCACCGTCAACCTCTCCAACTACCATCTTCCTATACCCACCTAGCTACAAGGCCCTGCACCTAAGTCTACTACCCTAGTCCTACATCTTTAAAAACTCCTATCATAGGTCATTGACCTTGGAAATGTCCAAGTCTGCCATGTCCAATGAGGAAAAATAAAATAAAAATGTAAGACCGCAAGAGTAGAACATATAGCTCCAGAAGATGAATTAATGGATACCCGGGATTTAGAAACTCACCCAGGGTCTCTCTAGTATAATACTGAAGTGAGTTTATAACCCTAACCCTTACTTGTGTTGTGAGGAAGAGTACCAAGAAACAGGGAGGACGGAAAGAACTGCAGTGTCCTGAAAAAGAACTTTGACCTTTGAAGTGTTCAGCACCTTCCATTGGAGATAGTTACAGTCGGCCCTCAAAAAGCTAAACCATGCTGCCACTGAACTCCGCCAAGGACCATTATGGTAACGCAGGTTCTGTCATTGACTTTCATTTTTCTTCATTTCATTCCCATATACAGAGACTAATTTCCGCTGCCTGCTTTCTACACCTACCCTCCTTTTGTCTTATATCAAACACGCTCAAGTATATTATGCCTGAATGTTTGCTTTATTGCCCTGCAACACCTATTCTGCTATTTTATTTTACTCATCACAAAAAGACAAAAAAAAAAAAAGCATATACAAATAATGGTTTATTTGTTCATGTAAACACAATTGTAAAATTAAAGCCTTTTCCAACTTTTCTATTATTTGAAACTCTTGCATTAGCCTGTAAGGACCTCAAAACCTACTGGTCTTTTGGTCAGTACATGTGGCTAGAATCAAATTTTGAACAAACAAAAACATTCATAGTAAGAAGTTGAAACAATCACAGTCACAACCACATTTTACTCTTTCAGCTGGCTGAGATTTAAATTTTCATGCAGCCCATTAATGCTCTTTTCACTTGAAAAGAGAAAACAAAGAAATTTTTTTATTAACCTAACCCATATATTGACTAGGTTTTCTCATCCGACCTTAGTCCCATCCAGAACATACATGGTTTCGATTAATCCCAACAGATGCGTCATTTGAGGAGCTTTATGCAAGACATGGTGAATTCTTAAGACTCGAACAAGAAATACAGCATGATTGCATACACTCCCAACACCAGAGAATAAAGATGCAAGACATGGTGAATTCTTAAGGTCCGGAACTTCCAAGCCCGTCCTTAGTAAGCAAAAAAAGAACCCCAGGCCTTCAAAAGGCCAGGCCAGGCCAGGCTTTAACCGAGTGTTGAAAAAAGTACTTGGTTTAATTGGGCTTATTGGCCTGACCTGGGTCCAGGCTCGAGCTTTTTCCGGCCAGGATCGGGCCAGGGCTTTTCTGTGCATCTCTAGTAGAGGTGTGCTTCCCTAAAGACCCCAGTTGTAGAATTCTATAGGTTCCCAACCCCCAAAAGAAGAACTTTCTGACCTGGAGAATCATTTTCTGCTACGTCAATCTGATTTGAAAGGTCCAACTCAACTATGTAGGCCTATTTGGCATGAATGGAAATGTATAAGCTGCATACTCGTTTCCTTTCACTTTGTTTTCTTCTTTTGGGATGGTACTAGTGGAAAGCACTTCCAGAAATTGAAATAATCATGTTGCTTCCATTGTTGCATGAGTCGCAGTTCTTTGTCATACCTTTGGTGAGTCATATCAAGGGCTCTGTTCCTCTCAACCCAGCATATACAAATACAACACAGAGTACTTCCAATACAATAAAAGGGATTGAAAGGTCACATGCAAAATCCTTGACCAGAAAATTTAATGGTAGTGAGCAATGAAGGTGCAGAAGATGAAAATATTCAACAGATTTGTCTTTTTTGGAAATCACGTTGCCAGAGTAAAAAAAACGATAACCTCAAGGGGTAGCTCAACAAATTATTGGGTTTGCTCCCACAGGTCGCTGGTTCAGGACCCCTCAGGGCCACTGGAGGGTTTGCAAGGCTGTTAACTTCAGAGGGGAGGTGCACACAAGTTGGCCGGGACACGAACGGTTACAAAAAAACAAAAAACGACAAGAAATGGGAATAACGAAGAAAAATGTGTCCTTTCTTTACGTAGAGTAGTTGCATCTTCCTTGCCATTCAAAGATGCAACAACAAAGGATACCGATTGTCATTAGATGGAAAAAGAATATGATGAATGCATTCTCTCAAGTGCATAAGCACTTTCTTTAAGTATGTCACAAGCATTTAAAGGTCAGAAATGGTACACAAATTAAAGTCAAGATTCGAGAGGAAGGATATGGCTAATGAAGGGAAATGAAATCACATGCATAGGTACGATCTTCGTCCCGGGGGGGGATGTATGCAGACCGTGCGTTTCCTCGACCTCACCCTCCTTCTGAATCATGGAGCCTAGATACAAAATGACTAAGGGGCTGTTCGGTTGGCTTTTCATTAAGCTTTGTAAGGATTAAGCCGTCTGGAAATTTAGTTGTCTGAATGGATTAGACTAAAAAAAGTTCCAATTGTTGTGTTGAATAAACAGTTTGAATGAATAAAATGACTATTTTACCCTCCGGTCTATATTAAACACTGATTAAAATAATTGTTTGACAAATATATTGAACAGTTGAATTTAATGATTAAATTATATTGATTTAAGCGTCTTTTTAAATAAAAAATAATGTTATCATATATTATATTATTTTATATATGTATAGTGTATAATATATTTTAATATTATATATAATGTACAAGTACGTGGCCCTTCCCCTTCTCTTCTTCCCCAAGACGCCATCAGTGAGCCCTGATAAACCCCCTCACATCTTTCTGTTAAAACCAAGGCGTCACTGGTATCCACTACTTCGGTGGTGCTCATCTTCTTTCTTCTTTTCGTTTACACTTTCCTCTGAATTTCCAGCCATATCTACAATTCCTAGAAAACGAAAAACCCTGATTTTCTAATCAAACCCAAAAATCAAAACAGCAAAATAATTGAAAATTGTGGATTTACAATACATTTTGAAGTTATAAATAACTTTAATCTTGTTCTGTTATTCGAGATTCGAAATGCTTAATCGTTGATTATGGGGATTTAAGGATTGGAAGAGATGAAGCCTTCCTAGTTCCAGTGGGTTTCATAAGGGTAAAGAAAGAAAGAAAAACATTGGTTGAATCTTGAATGGTAACAACACATCTTACTTGGCTGACCGAATAAGCTCCTATCTGGACCATTAAGCCACAACCAATCACCCATGTATGGCTTACCAAATAAGCCATACAACCTATACAGTCAATTAAGCCACACCAAACAGCCCCTAACTTGTTGGTTGCTAAAGTAGAATAAACATGTGACTTGACAAACGAAAACCAGTAACCCCACAACCATCCCCCTCTTCATCTACAATCATCTTACCAACATATGATGACCAACATTGTGGTCATACAGATATTATTATCGGGACATCTTGAATGTGTTAGGTACTAGTATTGCAAAATATATGATTGAAAAGGAAATGAAATTCCACGATCTTACATTTACTGGACGATCACCAAGAACCACCTTGCCACCATACTTCATGGCCTCCTCATATGCAACACGAAACTCACTACCAGGGAAAACCTCAAGCTTGCTAGCAACCTGAAAGGACAGAAATATGCATCAAATAAACCAAACCAGACGAACCCAATATGGCCTACCTGGAGGTGGATCAAGGGGGATAAGATCTACCCCAAAAGAGTAGAGCAATTGTTTGCGTGAAGATAATGTTATTCCAGTCAAGTTATAGTTAAAAGGTGCAAATCTCGAGAGATAATTTAAAGAATAATATCATGCCTTAGCAAGAAACCAGCTGTAAAGTATTCCAAACATGTTATGGTTTTTCTTCCACAAGTCCACCATTTCTCCCATTGTAGGTACCTGCCAGCCTAAAGATCAGTATATTTGCAAACTACAATCTACAAGTAAGTATGAAGTCCTTTTTAGAATGTACTCAAAAAGTATATTTGGAGCCATGACATTGAAATTTAGAATGCAATTAGAGAAATGAACAGAGAACATGAGACGGAGCTAGTATAAGCATCAGCTACAAACTTCCTAAACCACACTTGATATGCAAATAGAACAGTAAATATGAAACTCCACACCATATGACCTAGATATGGGTAGCCCGGTGCCATAGGCACTTTGACTGCAAAAGAGGCAAAGCATGCTTCCTGTTCTGCCTCCTTTCCAAAGTCTTTAGTAGAGAAAGAGGAATTAAATGTGCCGATTGGAGTGCATGATAGATTTTTCCAGTCCTTCCGTGTTGCCTCAGTGATTGGATAGTGAGCATCCAGAAAGAAGGTCCCGGGTTCAAACCCAGGCACCACCACCACTTTAATGCCCCATGATGGCCGTGGGACCAGTGCAGTGGGGGCACTCCAGAGGGTCGTGTCTACCCTTTTTTAGATTGTTCCATAAGTTCACTGTTTTCAGGGTAATGCTTCTGATACCCAAAGTAGATTCTGAAAAATTGCTATGTTGTGTTTCCAACAAAAAGGAACAAGGAAAATAGTAGATAATATATACACTCAAGGACCTTCAGATTCTGAGGAGTGAGTACAGCCACACGATTTGAGCACAACTCCAGAAAAACAACCTGCATTCAGTTACCAGTGAAATCATAAAATTACCAAGGAAAATCCATGACTATAAACAAAAGATAGCAGGCAGCTAACCTGCTAAAAGATGCATCCATCAATCAAGTATTATGAGTTATAAAGAGAAGCACCTGTGGTTTTAAGAAACTGATTACAGCTTCGACTTCTTGGCAGGACTCCTACAGAAAAGATGATCATGATATATAATCAAAATTTCAAATGTGCTTGCTTTATGTTATATAAATGTTCATTAAAGTTAACATATGTGAACTGATTATAGCTAATTACTTTCGATCGAAAATTGCAATATGCTACTCATGGTATCTGTTCTGTTTTCAAGTTTTGCTTTCTCAAGTGTTCCTATTTTCTATTTCCCTTTTTACTTCTTTTTCTCCCTGTTTTCTCTCTTTTTTCACACTTTGCACAAGCTAGGGGCCTGATGCAAACTGTTCATCTTTATTCAACAATCAAATGTTTACAAATTGATTTCCAGCTTTTCGAGAGAGCCGGACCTCTCCAGAGAGGTTTTCCTCCAATTACACAATACAAAACTGATGCCTAATCACTTCTACCCCCTTCTATTTATACTTCTAATAACCAACTTACTTGACTAATTGACCAGCCCCCACAATTGACTAATTGACCAGCCCTCTATTATCCTTACTATCTATATGTGTAACAATACTCGCCCAACAAACATCCACCTTGTCCTTAAGGTGGAAAGAAAAAAATAATTCTGGAGTTTTAGACTTCTTGGCTTTGTATTTGTTCCAGAAATTCGTACTTCGGTGTATTCTTGAAATCCTTAGGGTTTGAGAATTAGTTAAAGTCAGTTTTTGGGATTAAGAGAAGGATATAAATGTTGGGATTCACCCTAGCCTTAGAAGTCCAATAGAATGAATAAACCCCTGGTTTTTCTTTGAACGTACATACGGTTGTTCCAAAAAACATACGCAGATGAAGAACCATGGAAGACTGGTGACAGAGGTGGCTGGGACGATGGTGGTAACGGCAAAAACAACATCAGTGGCAGTGGTAAGACATGGTTGTTGCCCAACCAAAATCTTCCCATGATGCAATTACTTGTACTCTCTACCAAAATCTTGTTCTTCTTTTCTTTGTCGATTGTCAATACAACCTGGAATAGCCTCTTGCGTGTTCTTCGTTTCTTCTCTGCCGGAGCCTTCTTTGTTGTCGATTTATTCCTCACCGTTGATTTTGTCTTTGCCTTCCCCTTGTTCTCATAGCAGAATATTGGGATCTTGAAAATGAAGTGCTGGGATGGGTTTAGGGTTTAGGGTTTCATATTTTGACGGGCTTGATGGAATAGGCTTGGATTCCTTATTTTCCTTCCTCGCGTCTCTCTTCTTGTTCTTCTTCTTCATGGGCCAATTGAGTGGAGTTGTTTGCTTGGATTTTGGATTCCAGATCAAACCTCGATTCGAAATTAAATCTGATTATGGCTTCAAATTCGATCTTTCTCCTTCCTTCTCTCTCTCATCTTGTTGTCTTTTTCTTATTTCTGCCAAGACCGTAAGTTTGCGATCTCGATCAATTGAATGTTCTTGGACATAATTCAAGTCTTCTTGAATCGATTCCTTTATGATTTTCCAATCTTCTTGAACCACATCCATGGAAGACTTCATCGAAGTAATATCCTCCATCATCTTTTGCGCCATGACAAGCATGCTCCTGGTCAATTCCAGAATCGACTGCTCTGATACCATTTGATGCAAATTGTTCATCTTTATTCAACAATCAAATGTTTACAAAATGATTTCCATCTTTTCGAGAGAGCCGGATCTCTCCAGAAAGGTTTCCCTCAATATAAAACTGATGCCTAAAAACTTCTACCCCCTTCTATTTATACTTCTAATAACCAACTTACTTGACTAATTGACCAGCCCCCACAATCGACCAATTGACCAGCCCCCTATTATCCCTACTATCTATATGTGTAACAGGGTCTTCACGGAAACAACCGCTCTAATGCAAGGGTAGAAGTCAAGTTTGCATACATCCCAACCCCCATACCCCACCTCCAGGTGGGATATATTGGGCTCGTTTGGTCCATATGGTAATAATTATCGGCAGTCATAGCACATGGCGCAATCCAAAAATAATGAAGGCTAATCATGTGTCACTTACCAAAACCGAAAAGATATGAAAAAAAAAAACAAAATAAACGAGAGTGATTCAGATTTACTCATACAATGTTTATTTTAGTGTGCCATAATAAAATTAGATGATAAATAGTCGTTGGTTCATCGTAAAACAACAATACAGATCTTTCTAACAGGACTTGTGTGATGGTCACTTACAAGCCAGCTTTCATTAATTAGTGTTTGCTTGTTTGTAACGAAAGACAAAATTAAGAACAGATACATAATATTTACTTAATTCAGTTAATTGTGAAACTATGATATAACGAAAAAAGATAGTAAGAAATTTAGTACTAGAAAAGGTAAAAGCACTTTCTACTCCAGTGTTCAAAATGAAGAAAGAAAAAAGAACAAATCAACTAGAATTTATGGGAAAATGTAAAAGAAACCAACCAAGGGAGGGAATGAGAAGCACAAAGAAAAAATGTAATACAAAAGATGGATCAGTAAAAGATAGGAAAAGCAGAGAACTAGAGTCATTGGAGATAAAAGGGCAAGCAGGTAACTAGTCCCATTTTAGCCAGTTATTGGAGGGTTGAGCCCAAAAAACCCAAGTCTGGAGGGATTTTTACGTATTATTACACTAGCTTGATGACCCACAAAAATTTCAAGCAAAATAAAATATAATAAAAAAGCCACAATGCATGTGGCTCTTGCCTTTCCCTTTAGCACACCAATAATAATTGCCACCAGCCACAACATATGCATGGCACAGGCCTAGACTATTGATGCAATCATGGTACATTGTAAGTGCATACATATAGAAAACACAAAAATAATTAACACTCTCTATTTTGTAGTGAATTAAGATCTAGTTACACCACATTATGGGCTTTATGCACAAATCAATTATGCTAGAATCCGCATTGTTTCACAAATGATAATTACATAACAAAAAGTGCCTGGGATTTCTCATGTAAGAGAAGTTCATTTACAAGAAGTACATGCATGATTCATACAATCTATATTTGTAATTAATGCAGAAACAACAATGAGCAGCATGGTTGCCATGAATCAATGATGAGCACCTAAAGTAGCACATTTATTGTCCAAACACCTTGCATTTTGTGATGAATTCGACCCCAAAAAGGTTGCCATTAAGTGTGCATTTGTGTTCCTTGTCTACAGCAGCAAAGTGAAGAAACAGGGCTAAACAGAGGGTCCCACAACCTGAGGTCGCCTATCTCTCTGTTGTAACTTCTCAAAAGTCGGAGATTATGTGATAATCAAAAACTGTTGCATAAGACCTAGTCATTTTCCCTGTGACACAACAGAACCTTTCTCTCAACTCAATCATCACTTTCCTACTACTTAGATTTCAAACAGCAAATTGTTGGAGCATGAAGTGCATATTAAGCAATGTTCTCTACACTAAAGTAATTCATTGTGATCTGAGATTCACCTTTTTTATTTTGCTTCTCAACTAAGCAACAAGTAATAACAATTTCAACCTTCTTGAGCTTTATTGGAAGCTAAAGAAACAAGAAAGCCAGAAAAACAACTCAGATAACAATAACAAAATATGAAGATTAGAAAGCAAACTGATTGAAGATTGTATATTTGATACAATTCCATCTAACTGAACAAATTAATAAAGCGATAAATTGACCGAGTTAACATACAACAAAATGAATTACCATAGAAACATGCGCCGTTCCAACCAAATAAACGTCGCAATTTCCTCCCTCTGCCGAGGATTCACAAGAAAGCGCCAGAACACTCCGTGATAGCTCTTCCGGAAGCACTTTCTTTTGCTCACCTTCAAAATTGGTTCAATTTCATTTTTCCCTCAGTAAAAACAATAAACTATGACTTTCTATATAAATCACCTAAACTATGTCTATGATGCAATATCAACACAAAATAATTCAATAAACTCGCACCTTCAACTTCATTGTCATTGGCATCGCGACTTTCTTCGTTTGCAACAACACTCTGATCATCCAAACTCGAAGAACTGGCTTGGTTATCGGGAGTGTTTATTGTTGTTGTTGCCTCGAGTTCTGGAGCGTGCGGAAGCGAATCCGAATCCATCGCCGTCAAACAACGGTGGCGGAGAGTGGTGGTGGATCGTCGGTGGAGTTTTGGAGGTACAGAGAATTGCCGTAGTGTGGGCTCTGGTGCGAAAGTGCGTGTTTTTGTGGATGCTCCACCGGAGTTTTTCCTGAACAATAATCCGACTGGTGATGAAGACGAGCGTTTGTTGTAACGGCGGAGCTTCAATGGTTGTAACTCGACCGAGTTGACCAGGGCGCGTGACTGAGTTAGCCCATTCATATGAGGTGTTTTTGGAGGATTGTATTCGCTAGGATTTATACATGTAAACCCTTCCCAGAAAGGCAGCTTTACATAAAAGCTACTTGTAAAATGATCAATTGACATAAATAGTCCTTATAGAATGGCGTGTTTACATATTTAGGCCTATTTTTATAAAAGGTCAATTTTTTGATAGAAGGGTCAACCGAGAACATTGCCAAAATAAAAATACATAAAACAGCCAAATCACATATGATTTTTACACTAAAATCATATGTGGTTATTGAACACGTTTAATGCAAGGGTTAAGCGGACGACTTGGCCAAGACCTCAAAAGCCGCTTGAATCATATGTGATTTTACACGTGATTGTAGCTTCTTCAAATCTCACTGGCTCCCGACTAGTGCTTTAAATTGGTTAACTGATCTTTTTCATTCAGTTCCTTTTAATTAATTATCTATAAACAACTTAACAGCCGTAATATACCAGTTACAATCGGTCCTTTAAAATATACATTACTCAACACATTTCTACATTAATCGATAACATGGTACCACTTTCATTTTTTACTCAGCATTTGCAATATTAGGGACCGTTTATTAAACGTTTACTTAGTAAGTGTTTATCTATTAGTCCACGAAATGATCAATCTTCATAAAACTCTTCAAGAATCAATGGCAGATTTAGATGAACATTAAGAACACTAGAAGGAGAGTTGAGAGGATTTGTCAACAAGTCAAACTTCTATTATGAACGTATGAATATTACAATTGAGCTATATAGGGTCAAACTAAAACCCTTCTAGTCAAAGTCAAACAACACATACAAAGTCAAACACGATGTCTATACAAATTTAGACAAATATTATATTTCAAGACGAATACAATTTATCACTGAAATTCAAATTCAACATTATCCGAAAAATTCTCATTAGATGAACATGGCAAGGCTCGGAATCTTACCGAGTAAGAGCAATGAGAAGAATAGAGAGTGTTACCTGGTAAGTGAGAATGATGACTCGTACCCAAGTACGCTTATCCAATAACTTGTCTCATTTGATATGTTTTGATGCACTAAAATCTTACATCGAAACATGCACACAAAAGAAACATGGAGTTAAACTCCATGTTCCACCAATCATTATATGCCACATCATCATTTTATTTAATTATTTTTTATTTTCTCTTCTCGATTAGTAACGATGTCATAGAATAACTGGCAACAGGAAAAAAAAACCCGTAAAGTTTAAATACAGATGATTTTTATTCGTAAACGTCTAAAAGAAGGTAACAAAACCTATGTATCAACCAATTTCTTCATCTTTTCAAGTATAACATAAACTACATATATTACTTAACCCATCTGAATCATATGGTGTTTGGGATGGTAAAATTTGATCAACTCTATTGCAGAAAATCAAGCCTCACAATACAACTCCACATATGAGCATGATATCCATATGCTATGAATACGGCAAAAAACGAAGAAAAAGAACAGCGGAGAGATGTTGACTGGTTTCCGGAAGTCAACCACTGAAAAATTGTTCCAAAGATGAAGAACTGAAAACGTTTGAAGCAATTCGTTCGGTTTTGAGTGTCGAGATGTGAAGTTGATACTTGATGAACCTCTGTGATCACAAAACAAAAAACACATAACAATGATCAAAGATTACAAAATACAGTAACAAACGTTCAATTCTTCCTATTTCATTGAATTCCATTGTTTCGTAGATTATTGATTTTGATTTTAGTTGTGTCGACCTAGAAGAAACAACTAGAAGATTCTATTTGCATTGTATTGGATGAGCTAGAAATAATCTATACATTTGACCTTAAAAGATGACTGAATGTTTAATTCGATTCTCCAATCTCGGCCTAGATTCTTTAATTCCGGCTTGTACACCTTAATAGTTGATTAATTACATAAGACGCTTAATGCAACAAAACCAAGCAAACCTAGTATATCTCACTCGAATGTACAGTATGGGGGTGGGATGTATGCAGGCATGTGCTCTACTTAGGGTAGAGTGCCTGTTTCAATGAAGACCCTGGCTTTTCGCTAAGAAGAATTAAGACGGTAAATAATAAGTAAAAGAAAAATAAAGAGTAGTAAAACATCCATCATCTATCTTGAGACTCTCGTAACCCTCCTCGTATCTACCCTCCCCCTTCTTCTTTTTAAAAAAATTACAACATATACTCATGCAGACTCCTTGGCCTCCAGGGAGGCTGGCTCTACAGGTAACCCGGGTACCAGTGTGCCAAGATGACGCTTGAATCCTCAGTATTATCGTGGATGCTAGCACAGAGTTCGTCAATTCTTATTCCCCATATAGCGTATGACCCTTTGTTTCCATCTCACTTCTTGTCATCCACACTCGTCACACGTCCTTACCCCTAGACCCGAGTTCTAGTATGCTATCCAACTCATGCGTCTTAATCCAATACTTGGAAGGAAATCAAGCCATCTGCACCTCTACAGACTACGGGTCTACCTACATACAATAAATGAAGTGGAACTTCGTCCGTTTTTTAGAACACTCTTTGTGCCTGCCTAATTCTTGTGGTTGGTATCCGGTTGCTTATATCGATAGGCAAGGAAGTTTGGTGGCGTTTAATGTCATATAAACGTAAAAAAAATTATGGCCGTATACACGTAACTACCATCATGTTTCTAGAGAAATACGATTTTTTAGGTATCCCTAAAAGTGAATATTTCTCACCAATAAAACATGCTTCAAGTATACGGTCGTTTTTTAGACACTATTCATCATGTGGAATACCTCAAATATCACCACCCCCTATTCTATTTACTTCTTTATTATGGTGAGTAGAACTATGACAACCGGTTTTAGTGGTGTAACTAGATTTAGTATGGTAATCGAATTTCATTAGTTACGTTAATTGATATAAAAGTGGCGCACATACCGCCAATTGAGTAGTAATTTCTCGACTCGAGTCTATATGCCAATCAGGCTCCAGCTGCCGAACAAAAGACGTGCGTCCAATGTCCGTGCTACAAAAAAGCACCTGCAATTGAAAATTGATTACAAGTAAATATATAACATAATAAAGAGAGATGCATCCACAAGCTAAACTACTTATTGACCCTTGATTTAACTGAGTTAAAAGATTTATTCCAACTGTAACAAATTGAATACCATGGGGACCAAATCCATGACAAACGTAGTATAGGGACCCTAGTCATGAAAAACATCAAAACACAAGGACCAAATCCATAATTCACTCTTATTATTTATTACACTTTTTATTTAACTAAATGACAATTTTACCCTGAAAATTTTATTACACTTCTTAATGACAATTGTATCTCCATCTTATCAGCTCTTAAATATTCGTGGTAGAATTGGAAATTTAGTATATTATAACCATCCATTTTGAAAGAGGACACTTATTTTCGGACAAACTTAAAAGAAATACGGACATTTATTTTGGGACAAAGGGAGTAGTAAGAAGGTACAATGAAACAAAGAACATGATGCCCTCAACCTTCTTGCCATCGACTACCAAATAATCACAATAACCGGATCTTACCCCCTCTCCATCCCGTAACAAGTCCAATTTTGACTTTTGAGTGGAAAATGGCCTACCCTTTAACTTAAACTCAGCTAAGAATTCTTTTGGTTAAAAAGTAAAAACCTATAACAACATCAAGGTATATGATAAAGTACTGGAATACAAAAAAACTGGAGCTAAAAAACTAAATAAATCTATGTCAATTTTGAATTTGAAAATTACTACATTTGACTTTACAGATTCAAAAATGGACTCTACTTATAGGACCATGGAGAGTAGCATATGGGGTGTAGGAAGGAAAAAAATGAAGTAGAATCAGGATTGTAGTTGTTTAGAGAAAGCTCAAATTCATAAGAAGGTTGTAAATAACAATTATTGATTGGTTTTACCTTGTCTTTGACCAAGCCACCAGATGTAAAGATCCCGGCATTTTCCAATGCCAATAAAACCTTTTTCTGCAAAAAGAAAATAATAATTAGCCGGCAAGAATGTCCAAGTAAACCAAACAAGCCCAGTAAATCCCACATGGGGTTCGGATCCAGGTAGGGCGACTCTGAATATCCAAGTATTTCTCAAATTTACAATTATTTTATACTCATTTACATTTTAACACCAATGATTTTTCTATTTGTAGCGCTTCTTGACATAGTTAGAGCAAATCTTCCTCGATATTAAAATACACCCATATCAATTTTGAAATTACAAGCAACTCGATTGACATTCGAAATCAAAGCATGCAAATTAATAGAGATGGAGGAAGTAATATTATTAGATAAGACCACACGAAGACATTTTCAAGGTTAGTCTGTATATGATTTTTTGTTCAACGATGGTAGTTCTTCTATATCAAGTCTTAATAAACATAATATTTGTTGCATCTCCATTAGAAACTTGATCCCTTCCAAATCATTGCTGGCTCGAGTGTACTCCCTCTATCCCAAAATTAAAGAATTTGACTATAGTGAAATGTCTAAAGTGTCCTTAAATAACTAACACAAGGGATCTTTGTAAATGCTACAACAGACAAAATAGGTAATTTTGTGCTTGAAATTTTGCCACAAAAGGAACCATTACAATTAGCACGGGATTATCCAACTAGGGGATTTTGCTGAGATTCCTTTCGATCAATTGCAGAAAAAGGGTTGTTCCAAGAAAACATAATTAGGCTAAAAAAATATCAAATAGCCAACCAAATCATACAAGCAAACCCTTTTACTTCAACATAAATTAGGGTTCCATTCATTTATACCAAACAAAACAAACACAATGTCCCACATAGAGGTGGGGTCGGGGGTAGGATGTATGAAGACATTGCCTCTGCCCCAAAGGGTAAGTGGTCATACACCACATAAATGGGACCCACAAAATGACAATGGTAAATGGTCATAGAATATATATGTTGTCTGAAAATGTTATCAAGCACAGGGCCAAGAAACTCAAGAATACATGAAAATGAAACATTATAAACAAGTAAAGATAAAGGAAAAACAACAAGCTCACACATACTTCGCTTTCATCATCCAGGACTGTTTCCATGAGATAAAGGTCACAGAATTTAGTGATTTCCAGCAGGACATCCAAAACAGAAGATCTCACTGTTGCTTGGTTCTGCTAGACACAATTAATGCACAGTCAAGCAAGTCATGTTTTAATGGCCATATGTGTAGATAAAACATTCACAAGAAAAGCATCACCAACCTGAAGCTCCTCTGGAGTACTTTCTTCAAGTATAACCCCAAGCAAGCGACAAGTTACCTTTATCAATTCAACAAAAAGAAACATGAAAAGTATTATGTGCTTGAGATGATTATAGAGGACCGGTTAATAAACCAGACAAGCCTAGTAAAACACACCCAAAGGTGTGGTCCTTCTGCCCCCCCACCCACACCCGACCCCGGGGGGGTGAGTATGATCAGAGACGGGCCTAGATTTTTTTTCAAGTGGTGACACCATTTGAATACAAGAAAAAAATAAATGTGTATTTTCACAAAATCATCATTGGTCTGTTGGTTAGTTCAATGTTTTTCATAAGTGAGATCCTGGGTTTAAATCTTTTATAAACTTTCTCGAAAACATAATAAATCTGAAATTAAAAGCTACAAACTAAGAAAATGAGACTGACAGGATTCGAACTCGGGTCTGAGGTGGAAGAAAAGCCTTGGAAGCTAACTCTACCAAGGGAAATTTGTGTCCTCATTGTAGTTTCGAAACATATACGATGGCACACAACAAATTGATACGGTGACATTTTTCACGACCCTACATTTTTTTACATTACGACAGATGAATGAAGTGGTGTCCCGTGCCACCGTATCTAATACAGTGGGTCCGTCCCTGAGTATGATGTATGCAAACCTGACCTCTATCCCAAAGGGTAGAGCGGTTGTTTCAGTTAAGACCCCTGGCTTGTGAAGAGTGTGTGAAAGAGAGGACGTTAGCCCACAAAGTTTGAGGAAATATATAAAAAGGGGGAAGATTTCCAAAAAGAAGAACTTGAGACAAGAAGGTCGGATACAATAACTTTTCATGAGATTTTTTGCTTCAAATGGCTTGATGGGCATAAGGCATCTAATAAACCAACATTTACATGATCTTCATGCACCAAGTGCTAAAACTACATGAAGAATGATGCTACTATGTGAAAGAAATAGATATTTCCATGGTCTTTTAGTGGGAAATTTCTAACTAACCTAATAGAGAATGTGAATTTAATAATAATCATCACTACATCAATTCTCCTTACTTTCTAGGAGTATTCTAAAACAAAGTTGTCACTTTGATTCATGAAGCAAACATTGTGAATCCCATTAGCAAATAGGAATGTTACCGGATTCGTGTTGTAATGGTGGATGGAATCGTATTCTACGATTTTCTACAACTTTTACCCTAGATTATTTGCTAAATTGAGCTTTACTTTGGATATGTACATAGAATCAATTTCTTCCGCCCTTACAGGTACCCAAACGGAAGAACATATTTCTTTCCTAGATATTAGGTGAAGTCGTAATGAACAACTAATAGGACAAAGAATATATAGTGGTTAATACATACAAATAATTTTAGACAAGTTGAAGCCATCCTATCTGTTGGTGCAAGTGTATGAAAATTAATTTCCATTTTTTTATAACACTTGACAATGTCATTGGTATGATGATGACAAATTTGTGCTGTTTTTCAAAATTAAGTTGGATTTTACAAATGTACCACAAACCCGAAAAGCACAACACAAAAATATTCTTTGCTTTCGGCAAAATCAAAAAGGCCGGAATTAGCTCCCCCTAAAAAGGAGCATCTCATACCGAGGAGTGAATTAAGGAGAATAAGAGAGGGTTAGCTTTTTACAAATAATATTTGGACAGCATAATGGCCAAATTGCTATATCACACAAATTCATAGGTCTAAACAAGCTTATTTGCATTTAAGGGACTATGTTTCTTTCCTAAACAAGCGGGGTTCCTTATTGACATAATTTTAGGAACATAAATATGATGGATGTAGAGTCTTCACTGCTTCACCGTCTTTGCAGATCAAGCATGTTATTTGCTATGAAGTCTAGTCTTGTTCATTAAATAAAATAAAAACCATCCAGCTTTAAACAACATTTTGATAACAGAAGAAGATAACCAACCATCCTACAATTATAACATGATGAATATGAAAATAAATCCACATGCATGTGCATAGATCAAATTATGTCCAAAACATACCTTCCTTCCATCACTTAATCTTTGTCTGACTATTTGTCCTAAAGTAGGCTGCAGCAACATTAAGGCGATAAGTTAAACAAAAAGGCCACCATGAAGTCAACGTTTTAAACATCAAGGTTGTTAAACTTTCCATTACCTTTACAGGCTGAAAGAACTCATCAATAACAGTTTGTGCTCTTGAATCTTCAGAAGATGAACTAACCCCTGAATGAAACAAATTTACATCTGAATGACTATTGACTCCAGAACTGCTAGGTGCAGGAGCTTGATGTTTAGGTTGTCTTCTTCGAGGTGCACCGGGTGCCCTGAACAGTCTCCATGTGAAAATTACTGCAACAGCAAGTCCCGCTATAGCCCAAACAGACCGTATATCCTGCAAGCAGATTTCAGGTGTGACAAAACATTTCTTTAAAATGAATTACAAATAACAATAGAACTAGATCACCAACAAACAAGTACACACGGAGAGAATTGGCAAGATTATCCTTCACATTATGAAGATATGACCTCATATAGAAGTTTGTGGAGAGGTAAGATTAGGATAGTAGAACTTGTGGGTACTGTGGTGGCAGGCGGGTTGAGAGATTGTTGAAGATCAGACAGCTGTTATAAGCCCTATGGTAGGTAGGTGGGGTAGCCAAGAGTATTGTTGTGAGAGCTTTGAGAAAAGCTTATCAGTAGGGATCTTATGCCAACCTATAAATGGTATATGACAGAAACATATAAAGGAGGCTCTTCATATTAACATAACAAGGATCCCATATATTATGAACAGATTAAACAAGAAATCATCTGTGACAACTGAATCATGTTCAATGAAATGTCATAAGCATTTCATAATCACTCCCGCTATCCCATGAAAATGCTACATTTCATTTGCTTGAAAATATTCTAACATAAAGTTGCTTATTTTTCATTATTCGTCCCATATTATCATTACAAGTAAAATGATGGCATTGGTTTGGGCCCATGAGATTCATTTATTCATCTACATTAAGGGTGGTTTAGATATTTTAATTAAACTATGTGCCAAGGGTATAAATTATGGTATTCAGGACAAAGTAGCACGAGAAATGGCATGGGAATCATGTTGGCAAGGACAACAAAGTGGAAGTGACTAGATGTAGTGATAGAATCATGGCGCTTAAAGTGGTTAATGTAGTATGCGCTTATGCGACGCAAGCAGGTCTGAGGGAGCTAGAAAAGATGATGACCTGTTGGGAGGCTTCCTGAGGGATCAACATGTCTTTATAGGGGGGCTTTAATGGACATTATTGGAGAAGAAGCAAATGTGTATAAAGGATGGCTTTGGGCGAGGAATGAAGGGAGTCGTATGCTCTTGAATTTCGCCTGAGCTCATGAATTTTCTTGCTTCCAAAAATGAGAACACTAATCACCTTTTGTAGGGAGCACCTCTCAGATTGATTACCTCCATATGTGTGACCAGGACCGCATAGCTTGCAGGGGTTGCAAGGTGTTCACGAGAGAGGCATGTGCATCCCAACACCGGTTGGTGGGCGAATGGACATATTCTTGTTGAAGAGAGTAGAAGGCACGCGGAAGAGGCTAGACCGAGGATCTTATGAAAAGAAAAACTTAAGGGGCAACAACAAACATAGATGTTCAAGGACAACGTCATCCTAGAGCCTGGAGGTACAGTCTCGCCGGAGAAAGATGTCACTTACCGAGCATTTGTAGAATGATGTGGCTCAGTCGACTGGAGTCGTGATCAAAGATACCCTAGGAGTAACCTCGAGTTGGACTAAGAAGTAAGGACCTAAAAGAGTCTTGGTGGTGGAACAGAGAAGTTCAAGAGAAGGTCAAGGAAAAACATTTGAGGCTTAAAGAGTTGATGATGATGTGCCAGACGAAGGAGGAAAATGGTAGGGCGAAAGAGTTGTACAAGGAAGCAAAGTGAGGCAAAAGAACAGTGGTTGTGTCAAAGGATAAGGCTTATGAGAAGAAGTACAGGAGGTTGGATAACAAATGAGGGGAAGAGGTTGGATACCAAAGAAGCGGAAAGTGGAATTTACAAGTTGGCTAAGCTAAGGAGCTAAGGGGTTGCAATTTAGAAAGGGTAAAGTAGATGTGCATGTGTTAGTAAGAGATGAGGAGATAAAGGAGAGAATGGGTAGTTAGTTTTGTTCACTTTTTAACAAGGAAAAGAAAAGGGGTGCTGAGGGGAAACAATCATCACATAGGCACCAATCACTACTTTTGTCAAAAGATTAGCAAGAAGTGAAGGAGGTGCTAAGGAAAATAGGGAAGGGCAAGGTCGTATGTGCCTGGGGGAGCCGGTGCACAATGGTTAGTTGATCTCCATAATGTGATCCTTAAGATTGCCAAGAAGTCGAAAAAGTAGAGACTTAGTGTGGTTGTGTACTCTATGCACGTGAATGTGTACCCCAGGGGGATCACAAAACTACAATATCAAGAAAGGTACTGTTATTCCTGGAATTCAACACACTAAACCTACTTCTTCAACTTTTCCAATTGAGATTTACCAGCTTGGCAAACATTAAATTTCTAAGGCTTCTCAATTATCAGAAAATAAAGCCTCAATCTTCATGAATTAGTAAGAAAAGAAAAGCTACAGATCTTGCAACGAACCATAAAAAAGACATATCATCAAACAGTTGGCAGGCAAACAAAACATTAAAGGTAAAAAGGGAAAACAAATCAGCACCTGGGTATTTAGAACCTTGGAAACTTTGGCTGATAGATAAGCCCCAATCCGCTTAATGAACTGTATAAAATCTTCCTTTGAGTAATCAGCCATGACTGTAAGGATTACCAATTCTTCTATCTTGTTCTGCACGCTCACTCAAAAGAAGAATTAAGTAAAAAGGTTCTTCAATTTGTTATCATGATACAGAGAGAAAACGAGGGGGAGTAGGCAGATTTTAACGAAGAGGATGTTGGGGTTTGATTGATGAAGAAAAAAGATTCTTAAATTCGGGCGTTTGTTGATTATGGCGATGGGCAGAGGGTTATGCAGCCGCTGGTAAGAAGAAAGAAACTACGGCTTCTGCTTTTCATATCAAATCTACGGTCCAAATTCCAAATAGAGATTTGAGCTTTTATGCTCTAACATACCCGTGAAAAACATGCTCCATCGGGTTTTTGTTTAATCATTGTTAAGTTGTTTGTGTTATAGGATAATTCTGTTATCGTATTAAGGATATAACGATAAAGATAAAAATAAATATATCAGACTTAAATTATAAGTGAAATGTTTCGTAGTTATTTACTTGTAATTCATCATTATAAAAAAGGCTAATAATTAATGGGAATTACATATTTCTTTTATCTATTCTATTGTTGTTTTTTCAGTTTTTCTACAACAGTTTGTATAGATTAATTTAAATTAATTACAAAAATTACTATTTTATCTTTCTGAGTTCTAATTAAGGATGACAAAAGACCTCGTCTTTGATGGGGACCGGATACCCGAACCCTCTTTGACGGGGATCCCGAGGTTGATCGGGGATCAAGAATCTCTGGATTTTGTTAACCAGGGATGGGAATACCCTTCAAACCCGACCTCAACCAAGGCCTCGAATATATATATATGTAGGGCCAGTTAACTTTGCAAACTAAGTCATTTATACAAATCATGCAAACTTCATTCAACCCATTATAATTTTTATTTTATTTTTTCACTTTTTTTAATTATAAGAGGTTGATTCGTCATTTTTATTGTGGAGTGCTTTAATTATGGACATTATTATCTTCATTATATTAAAATATAAAGAAATATATGAAACATTCATTTTTACATGGAAACAATCATATGTGAAACAATTTTATCAAGAAAATAATTATATGAAACAATTTCATCTGATTAAACAATTTCATGAAACAATTTCATTAAATTAAACAATGAAATTCGCGGATAATGATGGTTTGTACAAATAAGGGTGGTTTGCATTTGATCGCTCCTCATGTATAGTATTATAATAAAAAATTAAAAATGATAAACCAAAGAGTATCTATAGTTTCTACACCCGGATTTTTTGGTCATTTCATGCATTTATATTCCCTTTGATATTTTAACCTTAAAATATACCTTTTTATTTTATACATTGGAAGATGTTATAGGTGAAGTTTAAGCTAAGTTCTAACAAAAAATCATTTGAAAGTCATATCAGTGGTTAGTGCGGCTTTAATGCGGCTTTACCTGCATGAAACTCGCTTTAGAGTCTGTTTGCAAGAGTTTTTGGATGAGGCGACTTTACCCGCTTGAATCTCGCATTCGTGCCTAGATGGCTAGATCAGCTTTTAAGCCGGTTTTTCTAGGGTTTCTACATTTAATCATATCTCCTTCATTCCTCAACCATTTGGGGCGATTTTGGAGGCCTTAGCTTCGTTTTTTGAAGCTCGTCAAGAGAAGATCAAAGAAGGTTAAGATTCCTTGGTGGATTCAAGATCATTGGTAACGGTTTTGGGTTTCTTAAGGTGAAGAAGATTTAGCATAAATCTCGAGTTTTCTTCAAGGGATGCTCAAGGTTTGGTTTGGGAACCTAGATTTAGCATAAGTCTAGCAAGGTGAATTCAAGTTGCTTTTTTCATTATATACATACCAAAATGGGTATTTTGAAGTATTAATGTGTTTTATTTTATATATATCAAATGCAAGTGTTATATGGTGAGTTTCTTCATATTTGGTATATTTGATTTTATAAATCTCGTAAGATACCCGTATTTAGGGTTTTTGAATACCATGGTAACTAAATCTTGAAATTGTCATTTGATGATTCATTTCATAAATGGAGGTTGTTTGACATTAATGCACTCTTGGTGCCTTGAGTTTTATAAACCATTTGGAAAATACACATTATTGTGCTATAAAATACTTTGGTGATATAAATAGTATGATTTCATTTGAAAAATGTCAATGATGGGTTTTTGAGTTAATCATACTTTGGAACATGTGTTTGCTTAAATGTTGGTTAAATACGCTTTAACTCTTATGATGGTTTTTAATTGAATCGTCATTTGAGTTGTTGAGTTTTTGGCATTAAAGACTCATCTGAGCTTTCATTTGGGGTCATATAATTTAGATTGTAATGCAATGGGTCCATAGGCATAGGAGTCGGTTTGAGTGAGATGAACATTCTTGTAATGTAACATGAAATAGGCATTGGGTCTTCATAGGTAATAACGTGTGGGTTCATTGAGTTGGCATCGGCCATTGACCAGCAAAATGTAATTTCTTATGAACGAGCTTAACTAGAATTTTTGGAGATTCTAAGGTATAGATCTAATATGGTTGAACTTGATGACTATAGACGTAATGTACATGGAGTTGTTGAACTTGTTAACTCATTAAACTGTAGACCTGGAGAGGTCGATCTTAATGAATGTGTACTTTGTACGTGACGCTCATATAACATAGATATGTGACCTACTTTTGTGTTCCGTCACATTCATTGGAATCGGCTCTCCCTCGTCACCGAAAGGTGAGTTTTGGATATGATATCTTATTCATGTTTTGGAGTTATTTTGGGTGTGAAAAGTATCCACGATTTGACGCTCCAAATGTTATTTATTGTTTATATTGGGTTTTGGGAGACTTGAATTTTATTCATATTTTCGATATTTGAACATCAAACTTATTCTTGATTTTGTGAGTATGGTGTTTTGGTTGCGTATAAATAGGTGTTCTGATTAATGAGATTTCATCAAGAAAATTGTGGGTTTCAAAGAAATGTTGCTTTTATGATAAAGACATTTCATTTGCAAAATTATGATTTAGATCAGCAATCTTTCAGTTTTACCATTTTTATGATTATTATAAGAATTATTTGAACTCACTAGCCGTTAAACCTAATCTTTTTCATTTGTCAGCATATGCATCAGATCCTTGTTGGGGTTTGGTACTAGTAACACAGTGATGAATTGAGTGTTGATTAGAGGCATGAGAATGATCTAGCTATTCGTTGACGTCTTCTGCTTTTGGAGATAGAGATTCTTATTGAGATTTAGTAATACCCGACATTGACCTAGTACTTATGTAAGGCTTGGTTTATCAATTGTTGATGGGTTAAATCTATACATGTTATTCGGGATAATTTATAGTGTAACACCTAGGTTTTTACTTTATTTGTTTGGTTATAAAATTTCTTTTTTTTATTATTTTACATTTTCTCTTCTTTCCTATGAATCATATTTGCATGTTAGATGTTTAGACCCTCCCTTTGTTTATTTATGTACTTTCAATATAAAGAAAAGGGGTTTTCATGGGGAAAAATCGTTGGACTTGAAAACTTATGTATTTTAGTTTTGTTCTTGAAAAAGGGGAGGGGGGCATTACCCCTATATTTAAATCCCAACCATCATGCCTACCTTGCACTTGGGGGACAAACTTTTTAGGACTTTGAGTCCTTGTCTGCTGTACTATATTAATAAGATAAGGAATTTAGAATTTATGTAAAAAAAAAGGGAAAGAGATAGAGAAGGAGGACGGTAAGAATGAAGAAGGTAAGTCAAGAAGAGAAGGGAAACCAAAGGAGGAGAATCTGTTGTGCTGCTCATCGCTGYTGTCCGTTTTTCGTCACTCGCCAAGTAGCATCGTGGGGGGACTGTTTTTCTTCGCCGTCTGCTCCGGACCAGCAGCAACAGCAGCAAGCAGCGAGGTTGCTGCTGTGTTTCTTCGACCAGCATCAACAGCAACAAGACCAGCACCGACAGCAGCAA